TCCGGTAAAGTAAGCTCAGCGATACTATTCTAACTGACTTTGGGCCCATTGTCAAGGTTGATTTTAATGTGAACTCTCATAGATTATGTTCATGGCGGTGACAAGTGCCCGCAAGGCTGCCCAAGAAGCCGACTCCGAGTCTCGACCGGAGGAAACTTCTCGATCTCTGGTGAATGACAATGTTCAACCCCGACGAGCTGCTCGTTCTCGAGCCCAAGCGCCAATTGCCACCCTTGAACATTGGAATGTCCCCCTTCCGGCAAACAGCGATCCAGCGAAAAAGAAGCTCCCTTTCTTGACATCTGAGGCGAAGCAATCCACTTCCGATGACTTGTGGGCTAGAGCTTTTTCACATCCAACCTCTCACCCCGCAGGAACCCGTCACCCAAGGGTCTACACCCTGATTCGCCAACGCAACTCGGTACCTTCGCCACAACGAGGCAGCTTTTCCACACCGGCTATTACTTCTCGAGGGGTATCAAGCCTGAGAGGTTCATGGTCATCTCAGCCCCCTCCATCACCACACCCGATGAGTCAAATTGGATCGGCACGGCATGACAGACGAACTGACCAAATGACTCCTAACGCCGACAGCAGGCGCGACTGAGCCAGAGGATCGGCAGCCGGAGGAAATTGAACGAGAGAAGGTTTTTCCGTCTCTGTAGACTCGAAGAGAACTAATGTAGGACTTCCAGAGGTCGATCTTGCGTTTTCTATCTCTCCGCTGGGTTTATCCTTCCCATGCTTAATCTATTAAAGTGTTGTTCTCATTTTCAAACTTATGATTGGAATCTATGCATTCCATTCTTCAATACTTTGTTGTGATGGAATCTCTCATCTTTTGGTGGTTTGACTTTGCTGCCCTGAGTAACGCACAATCTTTAGCCTCCTGCTTCACCGCACTGCATGATCAATTCATGTCATATGTTCCTCCTTCGGGCTTGTCTGCCTTACTCCCAAAAATTGTTATACAATGAAACCATTCTATCATGAGCGATAACCCTGACATTCACAGTCTTCAACATGAGATTCGAATTTCTTTGACCATACATTCGCCCACGAATCGAAGACAAATGGCTGATTGATTTGGACATTAACCAAGCTCTTTGACTTGAAGCCAAAGACCGTCACGAATGTATACAAGCAAAGCCGGAGAAGCCTCTCCATGGATCCGCGGGGAATGCAGGATGAAGCAATTGAAGGTTGGTTGGATACAGCCCCAAAGAGAAACCTTTTAAATCCAGAATTCTACTCGAACCATCCAGCCCCGGCGCTGGTCGACTTCCGGGGAGCTCTCAATATGTAGGTCGGTTCCTTTAACGATGTCGACTACATAGTGGATCGGCTACGAAACGGTCATGAACAAGTCCATTTGGCGATTCGGCTGGTAGTAGTGTACGCATTGCGCATGGATGGTCTATGAACCCAACTTTGCAGAAGCCCAGGGCCAATTGTAAAGCGCGAAGCAGAAGCCGCCGCGCGGCCCGCCCGGAGGACGTATGTTGGGGGACGAAAATGTCAAATGTTTTGTGCAGGGGTAAAGAATTGCATTGCGTCTCTGTGCTTGTCGAGAAAAATCTAGCTACACACAGCTTCTTGAACGAAGGTTCCCCAACGGCATAAATCATGGGGAGACTGGGTGGATGACAAAGTTTGCAAAAGAAACAGTATCGAATGAGATGGATGCGATGAAGGACATTCGAACAACTAAGTAAACATGCAAGCCAGCTAATGCGATAATCACGATTAAATGCATTGCTGAAAGCAGATGAAGGAAGAAAACAGGGATGATGGCCATGATTAATTGTCCACGTAAATAGGACTTGCAGTTGATGATGAAGTGATACTTATACTACCAATACAGGCTAGCCATTACATTCCTCATAGGGTCTACTATCGGCCCATCATCATCAAATTGTGAGCCGTCAAAATCTCCGCAAATAGGATGAAAGCACACCCCTCGCGCCTGCAACGCTTCCTCAATTGCTCTTCGATCTCGACAGTGCCCTGCAATGTGTGTCACCATGAAATGAAGGGATTTTTGTTGAAAAGAGTTGGGTATTGTCAAGTTAGTGACCGATTTAAGTTTCAGTGACAGAGGTTGTTTTAGTCAACGTTTTACTAGGGGAGCGCGGATACTGACATCTGTTATAATCACGGGCTGAGAGACATTTTAAATTCGGTAGCCATACAGGTTGGCGGGAACTTGAGAGTACCTGAGCAAGCATATCAGACCGGAGTTCCCAACATTCATCCCAAGCAAGCTTCACAAGGGAGTCGGGTAGCAGATTAAAGAATCCAGAGCCGACCAGCGGGCCAGTGATAGACAAGGATTTGAGATTTCTCAAGGCAGAAGATGACTTGAAGACCAGGTCCATCAGCGCCCAATTTTCGGCTGGGTCATCGGAACCTTCGGCGTCCCTTTCAATCGATTGCCAAGCCGCGTCGACATCGATCGTCAAAACTTCTAAATTCGGGCTGGTGCACCCTTTTAGGATCCGAAATAAGCCGGGCCGGTCAAGTTCTGAGCTTGGATTGATGATCTTGAGCGTCAACAAGCTCTCCATGGAGCCCTTCAAAATCCAGGAGAGCTCACTCTCGTTTAATTTCGGATCATTTAGAATGATGGTTTTGAGTGCACGGTTTAAGACGGTTATGGGTTGGGGAATAGTCTGGGTGATCTGGTTCGATTGACGAGAGAGTCCAACCAACTCGATTGTCTCGAGCTTGTCCCACTTGGAGAACAATCGGTCAAACACTTCGTCGAGAATCCAACGAAATACTACGGTGTCAGTGGGACTTCTGTCTTGCCCGAGTATGACGAATTCTTTGATCAGCGGTCGACTAGCGAGGGCCTCCAAAATGGGCTCTTTACAGCACATGTAGAACGTATTACTAATAGCGATATTTTCAAGCAACGGACAGCTCCGAATGATGTCACATATGAGAGAGCCGCCGCCTTCTCCCATGGAGCAAGGGCCGCTCCACGTAAATTGCAAAGAGCGAACGAATCGAGCCAATTTGTTCAAACGAGGGCAATCGATTCCAAAAGGTTGTGCAATCTGGACGTTACCACTGTCAGGTTTTCCACCCTCGTAATTAACCATCGAGCCACGATAGAGTTTTGCTTCATCCTCCAAGGATGGACGAGTAAGCGCCTGGTGAAATAAGCTGGCCCGCTGTTGATTCAAACCCACGTTTTTGAAGAGCATCTCCTGGGCACATCGTCGAAAGGTGCGGTTGACTAGGGATAATGATACCAATGGATTGAATGGTAGACCTGCAGACAATCAACGATGGATATTCAGTACAATACGATAGGGTCGGTGTGTAAACGTTCGAATATCAGATGGCTCACCACCTGGCCATGATACTTGAGTAACCTGTGTCACAATGAGATGTTAGCTTGGAGTATGCTTTCTTTAGTAATTATCAAGAAAGCAGGACACATCACGAGAGAAAGGAGACTTGCCTGATATTCCGAGGGCTTGATATTTACCGTCGTCTCCTTGTGGTAGACAGGGTTGCTGTAGCTAAATTGGTGATCGCTGGCTCCAGTTAAGGCATCCTTGTTATCTAGATGGGGCCTTGGATTCTGTTGAAATTCTCCGATTCCATTATGGTCGAGATCATGGTGATGGGCATTGGAATCGGCATAACTTTGATCGATAAGGTAATTGGCTATCCTTTCGACCAGCTCGGCTGGCAGGTCGGTCAACTTGGCCATCGTAGGATACTTCCGGCGATTGAGAAACCCAAGATTAATGTTTATCGGCAATAGAAAGCGTTCAGCAGAGGACTTGAGCTTCTGAGGGCAAGGGGGCTTGAGAACATGAATACAAGTAGAATAAAGCAAAAACAAATTAAACGCCTTTTTCAAAATAAATGTTTCGACAACCAACAGCTTCGATACGTACAAGCTGGACATTACAAAGTATCATATGAGCTGTATAATAAAGTCACTCAGTTTGTGGTGCGAACTGAAAGGAACTAGCAGTGGCACCGGATTTCGCTCACCCGGGATCTGAGGCTGATTGGTGATCATGAGGCAGTGGACTCAGCAATGCTGTAAGTGATGCCGAGCCGGATGATGTGGCCCGGCGGGGGTGGCGAAGGCGTAGGAACGAAGAAAGTTCTGAAACTCATCACTTTGACCAGCCGTTAACCGCCATCCATCGCCAAAGTGATCCAGATTTGAATTCGATAGCACCTCAATAGGCTGAAAATACATTGGTAGCCCATAAGGTCAATCTTTGGAATGTTACCCAACTAATCATTAGATGCCATTTTTTGTTGCTCTATCTATCTTTGCAGTCGTCGGCAGCCCATTTATCTATCTTCACAATGAGTTATAAAATACATGTCATCATGAAGCTTCAGTTTCAATGAATTGTGAGCCGAGTCCGGGACCCTTGATGCAGGATTTAGTCCAAGCTTCTATCATGTATAAATCTTGCCAAATACGCGTACATACCTGGGAGGTGCGAGACACAGTCTACTAGGGGTTGCTTGTGCATACAATTTTGATAATTTCAGTTTGAGAAAAAATAGTACAAAAGTTTAAAAAATAGTTTTATTACAATTGGTCCCACCCAAAGAATTTAAGTATCGGAAGTATCCTCCATATCAAAGACGTGAAGCATCCTCCACTGGCCGGAAAGCACGCAGCCTGTTCGTCTGCCCTTGACACCATTGAGACTGATTTGATCCGGTTGATAATCTGAACCGAGCCGATGATTTCTATATATCGGGAGCTACACATGTTCATGGGCAGAATAATGTCAGGCCGTCTCGTCAGCAGGAAGCATCTTGAAGGAATCTATAGGCTTCTCATCATGGGAAAGTTAAACGAACCTCGGGAAATTGACGTTCATGAGAATCAAAAAGTTCCCTGAACCTCATAGTGATCATCATGTACCTAGCACCTGAACGATTCATCAAACAACCCAACAACATCGCACCAAACAAACAATTGGTATCGGCTCGGAGAAAAGGAAGAATCCAAAGACGAGCAAGAAGGTGCCTGGACAGGCAGGGATCAACTGGGACGAAAAAAGGAGCCGGACAACTCACTGAAACCCGAATCAAACTGAGCCAAAAGGACAATTTCAAGATCATCAAAAAACTCCAAATCCAAAACTTTAACACTTCTGTCCGGATGATTGTCTTCAACACATGTACTGGGTAATTTGAGCTCAATGGTCACTTGAGTTTGCTTTAATCCAGCGTTCATCGAAGTTTTAGAAGGCAGCTCGATCCGATCGATTACAAGAACTGTCACTCCATCCGATCGCTTCGAAAGAAATGCGGAGTAATGGAACTTTTTTCCGCCGATTAATAAGAACAGTCAGCAAGATTGCTTCCAGTTTCGACTCCAAGATAGTCAAGCGACAGCGCAGATTTCAATGCTTAAAAAACGGAAACTTACATCCTCCACGAACCTCGAGCAGAGATGGCGGTTAGCGGGCTTCAGCAGGGTGTGCGTATGTCGTAAGGGATTTTCCTGTATGGGTTTGGCCATAGCAATTTTACTGAACATCTTCACAAAGACTTCAGTTATGAGCATAGAGCTATAAGTTAAGCTATTGTAAAGCCCCCAGGGCTGTTGAGACGAAAGATTTGCAGAATTATTGGCGTCAGGTTGAGATGATTGATGTGAGTTGGAGCTGAATTGGGGATTAGACCCCGAAGTAGATGACGATAGAGGTTTGAATATCGACGGGTTGGAAGGCGTGATGGCCACAACTTTTTGTCTTCTCAAGTGGTCACCAAAGCTAGGAGTTAGAAATTCAGCATTGGGATGAGGTTGTTGAAAGTGGCTCGAATCAGGTGTGACATATGTACCAAGGATTGGTGACTCGTTGTTCAAGGATTCACGTCTCTGGTCGTTTTTCTCATCGGCGGGATGGCCGCTATCTTGATCAGAAAACGATAGCAGAGCAGCCAACTTCTTCTTCAATTCTATCCGACTTTCGGGGCCATTTACGTCAAAATGGTCGTCATAAACTGTCTTGGATAATTTCTCTTTGACTGATTGTAAATATTTGAAATCGTCTGTCTTGGATCGAAACTGAGAAAATATGACATTATCCAGAGGATTGGCTTCACCGCGTTGGATAAATTTGCTAACGGCCATTAAGTCGTATTTGATCAGTGGCCGACTCGGAGGAGTCGGTGCACTTTCCAAGGCTACAACATAATCAAACTCTATGAAGGCAACATAGAAAAAGAAGTGAACACGTTGTTAACAACAGAAGCTTTCTCGACCTAGGCCCAGAAAAATAAACAGAAAAATGGGACACTACCTGATCGGAGCCATTTGCAGAAGTGTCCAAACAGGTCTTCTTCTTCTTTAACCAACTGATCTAACATATGGACCGCTCTGATTAGATGTTTGATTAAATTTTCGACTACCAGAAGCGTTTCGAAATCGTCGTCTTCAATCATTTTAATAGATCTGATCACATTTCCCGTACACGTGCATGTCCGTACGTCAATGAAATAAAATAAAACCAAAAAAGACGTTTGAATGTTGTAATTAAGACGGTCACCAGTGGGGATATCGGGCATACGAAAATTTTGGGTATGTGTGTAACCTCAGTTCTGTTGTTAATATGTATAACCTTTCCACCGCTGGAACAAACAACTCAATAATGGCCAGTCGGATTCGAGTAAGACTTCCTGAAACAGTACTTTCCCATTTTGTGAAAATCTGAAATGCAAACAAATAGCAGAAAATCGATCAACTTCGATTTCACTGGCTGACAGCTAAGATTAAAACCTCACTCTATCGCCACTTTTGGTGCCAAGGAAATCTCTTAAACCTTCCGTGGCTTGCCCAAGAAACAATAGTTGCAACATTTGAAAGCTGATTGGCTCTACAACTTTGAGTGCAGGCAATTTTAAAAGAAAGGTTAGTATAAGCCAAAGTGTACACAGTAAGTAACTCAATTGAACACGCCTTTGTGTGTTTTAGAAAGCTGTTCCAAGTTTTCATACCACTTTTTCGCAGTGATCCTAGCGATATGCCAATCTTTGACGATACCAAAATACGCAAAGAAGCTATCTTTCAGTAGACTCTGAATTTCATTCGACAGCTGTGCTTGCTGATTGAGTTCTTTGGAGTTGATGCCAATAAGCGATAGTCGCTGTTCGAGTTTGAACACGTTGATATGCATAGATGCCTTGTTGGAAGAAGGATGCGAGGGTAGTAATGAAGGTAGTAAGTCGAGAGTACCGAATCCGATCGAATGATTTGCATCCAACCAGACTAACTGCAGCTGAACTCCACCACGGTGGGCATCATCTAGAGGGGTAGTTGAAGGTGCGTCTTGTTGCAAGAGCTGAACTCCGACCAGCTGGACTTGGGAGGGTAGGGCGGTGGTACCCAAATAGACTGTACCATCCAGAAAAAAGTGAAGCGTGTTGACATGGGAGGATACAATTAGCAGGGAGGACGTGTTCGGACGTTCCTTCGGCTGGAGCTGATTTGCGGCCAAGCACGGCGGAAAGCGAATCATCGGATAATGATCATACAATTTGGACGTTCCTGTTGATGGGTTGGAGGTATATACAGGGCCCATGTGATTCCTGATACTAAACCCGATCGAAAGTCAACCCTCATAGAAAAGAACATCGGAAGGGAGGAGTTGTTGGACCTACGTTTCAATTTTCGTGAGCTGAGTAACCGTCAGATTGGCTGGTAGTCTGTCACATAGAGATTGTCCGATCGAGCGCGCGTCAGTAGTGGATTGAGCTGATTCTCGGTTCGGATTTTTCGAGGGTCGTAGGGAGAGCCAGGCCAAGAAGTCAATTTTGGTGGTTTGGTCGGAAGGCTGGTCCGAGTGGAGAGGGGTAGATTGAAGATTGAGGTCTGATGAGGTGACCACTGTTGGGAATGCTAATAGTTGGCCAGAGTGTACGCTTAACAAGACGAACGTTGGTGGACAAGAGGATGATTTCGAGCTCAGGCCAGCCACCAAGGATTGACCTAGGAATACAAGGCATCAGTAATTCATGAGTCGCTTGATCACCTTAACATTTCATGAGAAGTTAACGCATGATTGGCACACCATCTGGACTCCAATGTAACGCGGTAATCTCATCGAAGCGTGACTCCGGATCGAGATCGACGTGATGCCCCAGCAGATCGACGCAAGCACAATTGTCGGCAAAAAACCTGCCGACGGACACCGACCACACCTGGGGAGTTGAGCCACTGAGACGAAAGCAGCTTAAGGTATCATGAGAGGTCGATTGGTTTGGAGGCGCGCTGTTGATTCCGGTAGAGGGAGAGGTGAGGACGGCGAGGTCCATCGTTGGGCAGCATGCTTGGTGGCTAAGATGATGTTGGAAGGAGAGTGTCCGATGGGAGAGTGAGGTGAATGCTTCTTGATCCATGTCTTCTTCTCTTGTTTTCTCTGTTGACCGTTCTTCGTTCTGCTTGACCGTTGCTCTGTTCTTGTTGACCGTCAAGTTGTTGTTGACCGTCAAGTTCTTGTTGACCGTTACATACTCAGTTCTTGTTGATTACGTAATACTGATCGGCTTTTCCCTTCAGTGGTAAACTGATGAAACTATGTATATCACCAAGACCGGGGCCCGAACCAACGACGGTCCGCTGTAAGAATCTTAAGTACACAGTCCCCTGGACTCTCCAGCGTGCTGTTAGGCTAGCGGTAAACCGGGGTCACATCAGGTGCGCCCGCTCCCGGGGTGATACGTGTCCAAAATTGGAATGCGCGAAGCAGACACTGGGGCCGTATCGGGCCTGCAGGCCGTGTCCGGAGAAGCACTTAACCCTGTGGCCAATGCGTCGGTAAGAAGACCGAGTTGAAGTTGTGGTCGTCTCATGGATGGGGCAAGTCTACTTGTCCCGAGTCGGCCCCGCGTGGTGGGCAGTTCTGGAAGTGTGATCAAACGACAAACCCGAGGTAGCGGAGCACTGTGAATGATCCTATCAGGGGTTCAAATCCCCTACAGCACATCTTTTGGCTCCCCTCCTCATGGCTGAGTACGGCCGGTGTAGCACAAAGCTCAGCCAGTTCACTCCACGCCGTGCAGGGAGGACTCGAGCTTAACTAATCCTTTGTGTTAAGTTCGGGGAGGACTTGGATACAAAAGTTAGCTCGCGGCTCAATCTCAATCGAGAGTTCCTCGGCGGTGGACGGGCCGACCCCTCCGGTGGACGCGCCCACAGTCGCAGGACTTTGTCAAGTTTACTTTCGGTATCTATGTACTCAACTGATGGCCGACCCTTCGAGGCTGTCCGGTACAGTGATGCTTTGTTTAAGTCACCAGTCACGGATGAATGACACATCTGATCACCACCAAAATGCAGCGTCTGAAGTCACATTCTACGACAATTCTCCGTCTGGATTTCTGGCAAATGGGCATCGATACATTGGTATTCAGAATCAGCTTTGAGTTCAATGGAGCAAGGCCAAAATCCACATTCCTAATCTTTTCGGTCTTGCACGACCGCCACCCAGCCAACCGATTATTGTTGACAATTTCTATCTTCCAAGGACCACGCGGTCCACCGGTGCCAAGGACATCTGCCTCTTTTTCACGTTTTCAGGTCCAACGTTCGCCAACACTGGGGACCGAACCAGCGACAACTGCCTGTACGAGTTTTAATCGAAGGACCTGTATCAATAAGCTATAAAGCACTGTTAGGCTAGCGGTAAACCGGGGTCTGGGAGATGTACCCACCTGGATGACACGTCTTTAAGCAGAACCGTGTCGGGTCTGCAGACCACCTGTCTGGAGTAAACCCCGAGAGTCTTAAGGTGACCGTAGGTGCAAGGGGATGTGCGCTATTTCGCTCGAATTTCGACAGCGAACTTGCTCAGTGTCAATGCCAGGTATCTTCGCTACCGAGCTCCTGAACGCAAGCAGCAGCTGCCCAAGTCACCTACTTATGTACCCCAAAGGTCCGAGGGCGATCAAAAGGCATCCCACTAGTACCAAATTGGTGGTGGAGTATACTTCAAAAGACCCAATCAGGGGTTCAAATCCCCTACAGTGCACTATTTTTTTCGTAATCCTTATAAACGGACAAGAAAACACTATACAAATAATATGCACTGTCACAAAGAGATCGCAACAAGCCAGTCCTGGCACAAAATGATTTTTGACGATGACCACTGGCTTGAGTATCATAAGCAAGCGGTTTTCAGTTTGAAAAGGAATTCCAACTTCAGTTTGAGTGGAGACGTGCAGAATCAAGACCAGAGATCATGATCTCACAGGGCGTCCGACGCGAAGGTGCACCCAGGCTAAGCCATTGTTGACCGACCGGCCAGTTCGGAGTGCGCCGGTGGGACAGCATCCGCTTTCCCTTTTCGGAAGAGCTCGGTTCAATTAGCCAAAGTTCGCCGTTTGCTACAGCCAAATCCCAAGCGCAGTCGTCTGACCCAATGAACGGCGGACGAGTGGGATATTTTGTGACATCAAAATCTCTCATTTGACCGTCCGATTAATATTTTAGTTTCTTTCATGTGGAATTTGACTGATGAAAGTACTGATCGAGGGATGATCACTAGTACTCTATATTCGACTCATATCGGTAAAGAACCGAGCTGACCGCATCTGAAGCGTTGAGGAGAAGGCTATTGCTCATAAGAGGAGCTCGGGACGACGGTTGGTTTCAAATCGGATCGTCAATTTCAGTTGAGAGGGGATACATAATATGTGGACCGCGAGCTGGCCTTCGGGCTCTCACTCAAAAGTCAAGACTCGCGAGCTGACCTTCGGGCTCTCACTCATAAGTCAAGACTGAGAGGCCTATGTTGAACGTTTTGAGCTTTCGAGATACTTGCCTGATGCCTATGGTGGTGCTGAAATACTACAAGATGGAAATTGAATGAGACGAGTGATTCCTCTCGGGTCAGCTGAACACTGGGTTCTTCGGCGGTCAACTCCAGCCGGCCATCAAGACTGGGGACCGAACCAACGACAGCTTATGAGGAACCTAATAGCCCCTTCGATTCAGGTGTGTCATCAAGCACTGTACTTAGCCTAGTGGTAAACCGGGGTCACAATGCTGTGCCCACTCTTGAAGGTTAATGGCACGTCTCCAAGAAGGGGGCCATGATGGGTCTGTACAGACCATGCCTGGAGTAAGCACCCCCCTCCCATGGGGCCCCCCCAAATGTGGCTGCAGGAGCTCATGCATGATGGCCAGGCTGCTTAGACCATCTCCACCGTGGCTGCTAAACTGCGCTGCTAAACCAATTATAGCAGCGCAAACTCGATTTAGCAGCTCCACTGGGGCTGCTAAACACTCAAAATTTTTAGCAACCCGACTCTCGGCTGCTATCCCGATACCAAATATAGCATCAGGATAGCAGCTCAACCTCGCGAGTATCACAAAGAATCCTTGTGATTCTCCCATCCACCCCCTCCCCCATATCCCCCGACACAGCACAACACCCAATCCCCAGACTCAAGAGCAAAGACCGGTACTGGTCACTAGAAAATGTACACTCTCAGAGACCTGTATCGGTCACAAGAGAATGTACACTCTCAAAGATCGATATTGGTCTCTAGAGAGTGTACACTCTCAAAGGCTGATACCGGTCAAAAGCAACGGTGTCCCCTTAAGTACCGGTATCGGTCACATGAGAGTCTACAGCCGCTCCCAAAAAGCTTGCGGTTTGGGAGCGGCTGTATTTCCGAAGATTTTCTTTTTGCGCCTCGGTTTTTTAGCGCCCCTCTCTCCTGTACGTGGCCCTGTATGGCCACAGTACTTCAGGCAAAATGACCCAACTCCCACAGTTTTTGAGTTGAGTGTGTGGGAGTTGGATCATCGTAATCCTCATAAGTTTTTGGCCTAGAACCGCTCATCACATGGAGGCTTAGCCTACCCCTGCCTGGCAGCCGGCAGGCCTCCGGACCCACCCCGAGGCCTCGGCAGCCAGATCAGAACCTGTACCGTCATCTGTACAGGTTGTGAGGCGCTAAAATTCAATGGCGCAAAAAAAAATCTTCTGAAATACAGCCGCTCCCAAACCGCAAGCTTTTTGGGAACGGCTGTATACTCTTGAAGACCGATACCGGTTACCGGTCACTGAAGAAGTGACCGGTACCAGTTGCACCAGTCGAAGGAGAGTGTACATCTCCTGGGATGGTACCGGTCAATAGTAATACTCTCCATGGTCGGTACCGGTCACTAGAGAAAGAGGACCAATACCGGCCAACATTGAGTGCAGGCTTTGCTGCCCCGGGGGGGACCTTTCACATTCCCCAGTTGCTATTATAGCAACTTGCGGTGTAATACCAACTGGACGCGAGCTGCTAAAAACGCGCCGCAGTTGCCGAACTTCGAGATTTGGCAGCTCGGATAGCAACTTGCGGTGGAGATGGTCTTATGATACTCATGAGTCATAAGCAACCTGGGCATATTGCATTAGGTGCTGCAGGCAGATTTGAGGGGGCCCCAGGGGAACAGTGTGATCAAATGGCAAGCCAACAAGGTGGTGGAGTATCTTCATGTCCCTATCAGGGGTTCAAATCCCCTACAGTGCAAGCTATATTTTGCCTTTTGATCTGCAAAAAATCTTACATACAGCCAATCCCAGAAGTCTTGTGGTTTTGTGCAAGGCTTTTGGGATGGCTGCATTTCCAAAGATAAATTTTGCACCACCAACTTTTAGTAAGGGTGAAGGGGTTGTATTATTGGCAACAACCCCCCGAGATAAGGTCGCCGGGAGGCTGCCAATAGAAAATCGGTCTCATTGACTGATTTTTTATTGGTTGCGCCCACTGATACATTAGAACAAAGGAAAAATATATCAGTGGGCCTGGCCAATATAAAATTGGTCCATGAGACCAATCTGATATTGGTTGCCTCCAGGCAACCTTATTGCACCAAACACCCAACCTGGGGCCTTGCCCCAAGATGTCACTGCAGGGTTTGGGGCATCAGGCTGAGGGCCCTGGGATTCCAGCAAAAAATAAAAATGTGTTTTATGTTTTTTATTGCTTCCAAGTGGCCATTGGCTATTTACAACAAGTTTTCTGTTTTTATTTTGAGTTATTTATTATGAACTAATGGCCGTAGCTATTTAAAATGATTGGAAAATGAACATGCAAGAAAAAATAAGTAGAGAAATATAGGTTGATAGACTGTTTATAGAAGCAGGGCCAGTTAGAAAGGTCTGTTGAACAATTGGTACCACCCCTTGAGGCACAATGTTGGAATTATCCAGCTCTCCCGCTCATAATTCTGTTTTCTCTTTTCTTGATTCCTCCCGCTCCGCTCTCTTCTCTCCACTCCCGCTCCGCTCTCTTCTCTCCACTCCCGCTCCCTTTCCGCGCTCCGCTCTTGTTCTGTATCCTCTTTCCCTATCAATCCCTATCTCATCTCATATTCTTCTTCCCTTCTCTTCCAATCAAAACCTAACCGACTCCTACTTCTCAATCACAACCACAAATCCCTCGACTTATCACATACAGGCTATTCCTCAACCACAAGCCAACCCTATCACCCTCTCGTTGATTCATCTATAAAAGTCAACCGAATGCTCTCAATCAATGTCGCCTCAACAGTCTCCGTCACCGTCAATGATCAACTACCCTCAATCAACTAACCTCCTCCACTCCAACACTGTTCGACTGTTCTCTCAACGCTCTCCTCAAATCACCTTCAATCCACCATTCCCCTAAACATTCCTCTTTGACTCCGTTTCTTCTCTTCTCTCATTCTCTTCTTTCTCTCTCTTATCTTGCTCATTTTTCACTCACACCAACGACGACAATACATTCTCACATCCACTACTCAGCACTCACTCGTCCTTGTTCCACCAACTCTCTCCCTTGATTTTCTCTCCTGGCTTTTGCCAATTTGGTGAGAAAAAATCTCTCAACATTTCCTTCTCTCAAAAAAGCTTTGATTAACCTTTTTCTCTCAATTTCTTGTGTCTCAGTGTCTATTACTTGTCATTGTTTTACATTGTCTACTTCAGTCTTTATTCTCTGTCTAACTCAAAAATAAACTATCACCGTGGTGAATCTTCTTACTCATTATTGTTTTTTCTTCATGTTTTCATACTTCTCTTTTGAATGTTTCTCTAACCTTTGTTTTTACATCTTTAAGTTCTGGTTCTAGTCTCAATTATAATTCCTGTTTTTCATCACACAATAGCTGCCCAATGCTCCTTGGCTTGAGTGCAGAATGTTACCAGGAGGAGACAATTCACTGGTCTTTAGAATATACTTGCTTGGAAGCAGCACTAGTTGCCAGGATTGAGAGGAATTGGTGCACCATTTGAAATAGGGTTGGAAAGGTTGTTTGTCTACTTGCCCAACAGGCAAGGATCTTGCTCCCCTGGGGTTTGGGATCCTCCTTTAGGTATTGGTTAATCTCTGCTTCAATCCCCTCAATTGGCACAGTTGGTTGGTAGAAGGCAGCAGCAAAGAAGCTTGGAGTGATTGGTCCAGAGGCCACAGCTTCTTTTTTGACATTGCTTGGGGTTTCAGCTACACCCTATGCCTCCTTGAAATTGTGTGCAGCAGTGCACAAGGTTGAAAGAATGTCATCAACAGAGAGAAAGTAGTGATTTTTAATGAAGTTTGTGTGTGTCTTCCAGAAGGCTGTCTTGAAAGTGGGGTCAAGAATCATCAAGCAAATATATACTGGCTTAGTGAGTGCATCACAAAGGT